CCCTTTGTTCTGAGACAATAGGTCAACTACTAAAGGAGTTTTCAATTAATAAATTTATGAGTTTTTTAACCTTTTTTATATTTCTAACTCCTGGTATCATTATTTTACTTCTTTCATACTGTTGTAAAAGGTATATAATTCTTTGAAGTCTGGTGAATCTTGCGGAAAGGACCAGTTACCAATCTAATTATACAACGCGTTGGTAATCTAATAGTTTTTGTAACTTTGCATTGGTAATTTATTTAGTTTTGACAATACCTTTATCAATTCTATTGTTTGAAAACGGAAGCGCGCGCATTTCAAGCTGCATAAAACTCAACAATTCTTCGATCACATCACTCTTGTTTGAGAAGACATGTTGGAAGAAAAAACCCCGACGATTCCGTATTTCAAATTAGTSCAGAATTGATATGGGACCTAACAATTACAACCCTTGAAGAAGGAGAAACGATTCTGGTTGTGTAACCGTTCAGCTTGACAAAKAAACAAGAACAACGGCAGTCTTCCTTCTGATTAGWAAATATTTCAATCGCTTCTTAGGATATGGAAGACGATTCATCAAAACYGACTTCACAAGAACCAAAGCAGAAGACCTAGTGTTGGTTGTGACAATTCACCCACAACCCACTCTAAAAACGTGCTACCCAGTAGCMAAAACTCAAAATAACGCGGGTTTTTGGAAAAATGAAAAAGAAGAAAAAAACTATCCAAGACCACGATATCATGATGACGATGAAAAGCCGGAAGATACGGACGAACAATTCATAAGGGACGTGATAAAGAACCGCTTAAGAGAAGAAGCACAAGRACAAGAAGAATATAGAGAACCGGAGCAATCAAGGTCTGAATGGGGTTAACCGACTAGCGACAAATGGACAAAATATCTACTGACTAGCGACAAATTTGAACAAAATTAGCTGACTCCACCAGGCACCGGTATATAATGTAGCACAGTTATCACTATTCTTGTCGTTATCTCTATCTTTAGTACTAAACGCCATGTTGTTATGATATGATAACGAGTACCCAGCAGTACCTGAATACGAGCCAACCCTCAGCCTGTACTGGTCTGATTCATCACCAACACTAAAACTAACATATTTGGCATACATCCTAGTTCCATACCACCGACATTAACAAATTTACTGACTGGCGACATTTTCCAAGCTTTTTCTTATTTTTCCAAACTACATTCGAAATTTTCCGCGGAAAAAATACATTTTGCTTCGGATTGGCTTCTTGAAGTTGTGATGAGCCWCTCTAAAACTTTGAGGGGCATCCAATTGACCAATCAAGACTCAAGGATTCAATTGTTGGCATTTTAGAAAGAATTCTGTTAGTATAAAAAAGCACCGTTTTAGATACATTTTAACTAATGTTTATCAACTTTTTTTAAACAACTGACTACCGACAAATGCCTAGAATTTTAACTGACTAGCGACAAATGCTTGAAATTTTAAGTGACTACCGACAATAAGACCCCCCCCCCCCCCCCATTAAGACCCTGGAGCAATGGTTTTGAACGCTAATTTTGAATGTTAATTTTTATAACTATTCTGTAACTATTTTTATAACTTTTTGCTCTTCAAATCGACTGAATGCAAAAAGGATAAAATCAAAGAATAAAATTGACTTAGTACCATGTCAATTTCATTAAGATTTAATGCTGTTCTACCGAGTTCAAAGAGTTGATCGGAATTAATATCAAGCGCTGGCAGAAGATCAATAGTCCTGGCAGAAGCCAGAGAATCAACGGAAACATTAGAAGGCAACTGAAAAACGAAAAATAAATAAATAAACAACAACATTTAGAATACTAACAAAAAAAAATGAAAGTTTAACGAAAGCAAAGGAGCGTACCATGTTTTCTTGTAAAAGTTGAGATTCAAAGAGTTCTGGAACTGACCAGTAATCAAACTATCAAAATGATAAAATTCGATGTGAGAGAATACTCAAATAATCTTAATAAAGAAAATAAATAATAATTCAAAACTCACCAAGTCAAAGTCAGAGTGATGTTCCGTGATGAAAAAGTTGATATAAAATCCCAGCAATGTCTTCTCAAACAAGAGTGATGTGATCAAAAAATTGTGTTTGTGAGTTTTATGCAGTTTGAAATGCGCGCGCTTTCGTTTTCAAACAATAGAATTGATAAAGGTATTGTCAAAACCCTTTCGTTTTCAAACAATAGAATTGATAAAGGTATTGTCAAAACTAAATAAATTACCAATGCAAAATTACACAAATAAATTACCAACGCAAGTTACAAAACTATTAGATTACCAACGCGTTGTATAATTAGATTGGTAACTGGTCCTTTCCGCAAGATTCACCAGACTTCAAAGACGGGGTCCCAACTATACAGCTAATACTACTTATGTACTATATTATACTCGTCCATAATCTTGATCACAGATTGAGATCCCGATCGCAGTTCAAAAATGCTGTTCGAGTCATCACGCTTCCGTCGAGTCCGCAAAATTACACTCCCTCATTCGATTGCACATTCTACTKGCATTTTGTCAATAATTCTGGGTAGWCATTGCAGTTCCTTTGGAAGAAAARGTGAASGAGGSCACTGGGAGAAAGAAAGATGAACCCCATGATGCAATAGTAGATTAAKACGGAATTGCCTCTGAGGCTACCGCCATGCATTTTGTGCAAAGGATACTCTTACATACATGGTATATAGCATACATTAATGTTCAGTTAACGAATCGTTTCGTTTTGAACAACTTTAAACAGATATTTAGGAAGAGAGTAGCCAAAGAGCAAATAATCCTTCTTATATAATTCTAATAATTTTTCTAGCTGACTTCGAGTTATAGTCTTAAAATAATCCACCATCTTTGATCTYGCGCTCTTGTACAACCTACTAACTTGATAACCTGGAAATGTTACATTGCTGTCCGGGTCGATCATTTTGATGATACGCGCTGCATCACGGGAAAGGGCTTCRTAACGACCAACAAAGTCGAAGTCCAACAAACAAGGATGACAAAATTCAGAAATTCTATCCCAATGGAGCTCAAACGCGTCCTTTTCAGATTCGTTCGTCAAAAAGCGAATAAATTCTTCAAAAGTAACATTCCATTTTCCTTCTCCTTGGATGWATGCTTTGTATTTTGTGTATTTGAGCATTTTCGCGCCAAATAATCTTTGGAACTTCCCTGTTCTGTCGGAGTGGATTTTGTTAATGTAAGCKGATAAMAGTCTCTCCATCGGTTCTCGGACCATAACATAASTGCGGTAATTTTGAATTTTATCACGGATTTGTTCAACTGGGAGATCCCCAAGGCAAGGAAGTAACGATTTTTCGTGAGCAGCGGTTGTTGAGATCATGGATATGTTCGAATATTTGTTGGTAAGTATCAGAAATACTCGTTTCCAGTTCCCGCTCGCTACCTTCGGCACATAGCAAAACAGCACCTTGTTTTTATCGTCAACGAATATTGTTTTGAGTCTTTGTTGAAGTTTGAGCTGCTCCAGTCTCTTTGAATCAATGTGGATGCTTTGCTTTGGACAATATTTGCGATTTACTTTGTTGGTGTTTAGAGAGGCGGCTTTTTCTGTCTAAAAAAACAAACACACCTTTAATATTTCAGACATCGTTAATGGTTTATCATGTCGAATGCTACATTAATATTATAAGTCGATCATGATTGATAGCAGTAGGAGCTAAACCGATTCACGTTACTAGGCCTACTAGTATTCGTCCGCCATTTTGAATTGGCGGGCTAAACCGCACGAAAACATACGAAATCTAACCGGTTGTTTCGATGCGATTTTTAATCTATTTTATTATTATATTGTAATTTTTTTACTGGTACGAAAAGCTTGCAGTCCAGTCTCCATGCAGTTCTCGATCATAGTGCCCCTTGGAAAGCTAAATGGCGGGAAAAAAGTGAGATTTTGTCATTTTCTAAATTTTACATTCGGATCGTGAGATTTGCAGTCGMTCTGTCATTGGTATACGTGTCTGGTAACAAGTGGTATGAAAACTGTCTTGAATTCGAAAATTGGCTCAAATTTGTTGCGTTATCGTAAAATCTCTACTTCAYTGTTCTCGTCATGAAAAAAATCCCAACATTAAACAATGGAAAATGGCAATAAAAATTAATCCAAGAATTCTCAGATAAGAAAAGCGAAGATTACCTATGATTCGACATTTTTACGTAAAAATAATTGTGAGGCAACTATCAGTTCTGCGCAGGGTTCGCCGGCTAGATCGCTACCCTGGTTCCAGAGGCTTGTCTTATTTTCTTTTGCTTACTGTCGGCATAAAAACAAAAAACAAACCGATTATATAACGGAAAACGTTAAGCAAAAGGGTAAAAGACAAGCCTCTGGAATCAGGAAACTATAGATAGTCGCGATTATTGTGGGGTATTTGCAAGACAAAAATCTATAATACTAGATATGTGAGTTTTTTTTACAAATCGGCATATATATATTAACGCACACAGTAAATAAACAATAAATAGTATTCGGATATTATTGATTGATTAATACTTATAAATCCAACGTTTCTTTACCTCGTGTCTGTTTCTTGCAGATTTTTCCATCAGAGACATTGAATCTAATCATTAAATCAAAAGCCAGTAAAGTTTCTTATAACTACTGTAATCTTCATGTCGATCAACCGAAGAAGTAATCATTTAAGAATTTTAAACTTACCATTGCAGTAGAATGTTATAAAGATAAGCCACAAAACGCTCAATGCGAAAATTGCACAAATCGAAATTAAACGAAGCAATTTCTTGATGCCTCTTTGCATTTTTAGTCCTTTCGGGTCCTTTTGCGTCTTTTCTTTGTTTGCCGATGTGGAAGTTTATAGCCTCAACATTGTAAACCTGTCTCTTTTTCGCCAAGTAAAGAYAAACAAMAAGCCGGAAACAGCTTAGGGAACGCCGAAAATTCTGTGTGAAGTGAAAAATCGTTTAGAGTAAATTATTAAATCATGGCGAATCTCCGTCATGAATATTTATCGATTAAAAAAAAATACAAAGRGCTCGTTAATATGCCGATAATATAGGCTTAACATGGTTCCCTGTGATTAGATGCCATTTTGTTAACGATCTGTAATCATCCCTTTATTTGAAAGTGAATAATGACTCCTCAGAATAATCTGCATCTGAAGGCAGTTTTGATTTGACTTTCATATGTACGGCCTTCACACACGTTGCTTTCGTTTTGGTTGTTAGTAGCCTTCGGGCCAATATATCTTTAGTACTTTAGACTATCTTTCTATATTTCAATATACTCAAATCTTTTTTTT